ATCTCTCCCATTCTTTAAGTTTGGAGTAAATATTATTCCAGATATGTCTTATTTCTGTTATCTGTAAGTTTGTAGTTTAAAGGGAAAAAACAAGTGAAAGAAGAGATGGGTTTGGTCAAACTGAAAGCAGAAGTTTCCTGGGCAGATACTAGATACTCTCTAACTGCACTTGTATGCAGTAAACTAGTTAGGACAGGAACTTAGAGGGAGGGAGAATTTAATATTGCAATAGTGAGACAATATTCACAAGCAGGAAGTTCATGGAAGGCAATCTTGAATGTGCTCTTGTAAAGCTTAAGGACTTGTCCTTTACGTTATTTTGTTAAACACCCAATGATATCACAGTTTTTGTCATTTAAGTCAGTCATCTGTTTTTGGTACTGTACAGGAACTATCTGGAAAGGGTGGTGTTCTATTTTTGGCTCAAGCCATCTTGAAGCTAAACGCTGTGCCTCAATTTGCAGCATCTGCTAGAGTTGTGGCTGCTGTATCTAGGCTGAAAGCTAGAATACTTTCAATTGTGAGTCCTAGTGATGAAACTACTTTTAAATTTCCTTGGGACGTTCAACTGCTTTAGAATCTAGTACAGCTTATTGTATACCCATGTGCAAAAACCTCAGTGTCCAGCCACTGCTATCCTTGTTGCAGCTGTTGAATCTGAGTGAAGCAGACAGCATTTCTTACCTGGACGAAGTTGCCAACTCTCCAGGAAGCCTGGATTTGGCAAAGTCAGTCGCATTGGAGGTTAGCTTTCTTTCCATCTTATGAACTGTCAGGAATGCTGGTTTTTATCAGCCCATTTTTATTATTGATGTTCTCTTCTTTGTACAGAACCTGCTTTAACTGTCAAGCTGCTTGCTGTTAATTTATTTGTGACGATGCAGATTCTTGAGTTATTGAAGACTGCTATTGGCAAAGATCCCAAATGTTTTGCTGCCTGTTCTGATAGAAGTTACCCAATGGGGCTTTTGCAACTCAATGCAATGCGCCTAGCTGATATATTTTCCGATGATTCAAATTTTAGATCTTACATTACAGTATATTTTGTAAGCTATAATCATCACTCTCTTGTCTGCGTTTAATTTTGTTATCCTCCTTTTTCAGACCATCTTTGTGCTTTGATATTCTCAAAGATGAAAGAATCTATAATTTCCCTTTTCATTAGAAATCATTTACATTATCCACATGTGATTTTGATGCATCTAGTGTGCGTGCATCATGTGTTCTGATGGTGAAAAAATTTGTGACTCTGTCTTTTGTATGTCCCTCCAGACTAAAGTGCTGACTGCAATATTTTCGCTCCCTCATGGAGATTTTTTAACCAGTTGGTGTTCTTCTGAACACCCTGAAAAGGAAGAAGATGGCAGTATTGAGTATGATTCATTTGCAACAGCTGGGTGGGTTTTGGATGTATTTTCATCAATTGACCTACAAAATTCACCAACTTTAGAATGTACTGTTACTCCCATTAGTGTGACCCAGGCTTCCTACTCACATCAGAGAACAGCATTATTTGTGAAAATAATTGCAAATCTCCATTGTTTTATTCCCACTATCTGTGAAGGTTTGTTCTTGATTTTGTGAATTTTCGTAACTACTTCAATTAGCACATGTCATTGTTTTGTGTCTTATCAGTGAAATTCTCTGTTTTAATTTACAGAACAGGAGAGGAACCTTTTTGTTAACAAGTTTCTGGAGTGCTTGCAAATGGATCTATCTAACTCGTTGCCTGGATTTTCCTTTGCTTCTGATACTCCGAAACCTGCGACTGTTTGCAGAAATCTACGTAATTATCACCCCTAATGAATCTTTTTGTAAAACTTAATTGTAGAAGTTACTCCCTTCCTTACAAGTAAGTTGCACGTGCAGGCTCGTTGCTAAGTCATGCAGAATCATTAATTCCTAATTTTTTGAATGAGGAGGACGTACAGCTCCTAAGGTAATACTGTCAACCATGCTTCTTCTTTCATAGTTTTTGTAGTTATTATTAATGCTTAGTTTTTAGAATTTAGCCTCAACCATGTTAAGGTGTCCACATCCAGAGCTGGAAATGGGACTTCAAGTTGTAGAATGGGCTTTACATGGAATTTACTTGATAAATGCTATAATGATTAGAATTTTTATTAACATCTGAAATAATGCTCTTCAGCTAAATCTGATGCCGACCAAAGTTTGTTTTTACTTATATGTATTTGTGTGTGTATGTATAGAGATTAGTATATGGTTTATCTATCAACTACATACTTCAGTACACCAGCCTTGTAGTATCACTTTTTTTCTTTTTTTTATTCATACTTTCTTTTCAGGGTTTTCTCCAAGCAATTACAAGCATTGATCACTTCAACTGAATTTGAAGAAAACCGAGTTCAGGTAGTAAAACACTAATTTTCTAGAAATGAATTTTGCCATTTTGTTTGATTCTTTCCTGCCCCACCCCTTGCATATACGTTTGAATGTTTTCAATAATGATGCTGGCAGGAGAAGAAACACGAGGAGTCAATATATAGGGATCAATTTGCTAAACTCAACATCAGTGATCATCATCAGGTAAATGTTTGATAGTTTTTTTGCCCCATCTTCTGGGTGGCCTGAAAATTCTGGTAGTTCAATCTACTTAGACCAATGATCACATTATTGAGTTGACGTGCTTTTAAATTGTTCTTTGGTATGACAAGCTTCACACACAACTATTTGAAACCAACTGTAGGAGTATTAAACTTGAACGTGAGACTCATAACTGAGTGAGATTTTTCGAATTAGTAATTAAATATACCTTAGATTGAATAACTGCTGTCTTTGATCTTCAAGTGGAATAAATGAGCCAATCCTCAAATGGGCGCCCAATTGACTTTGCTAATGGTTATGTAGTTATTTCTCAACATACTGACGTGAGAGTAAACTTTGATTCCTGGTAGGAGGCTCAGAGCACTGGAGGATGCTCGCCACCTTTATTGAGTAAACAACCTCCTAATCTTAATAACAGAAGTGGTAATCTAGAGGAAATGTCTGAGAATTCTGCTTTTCAAGATGTGGACCAAGTTGATGCAAACAGTGAGCATATAGATCAGGGGAATGATGTAATGAGGGAAGACAAAGGTATATCTGGTGGGAGTGCATCTGGACGTTTTGGAGCCATCGACCTAGATGCTCATAATGTTGAAACCAGTGGTTCAGACACAAGCTCAACAAGAGGGAAAAATGCTGTAGATCAGATGGAAAACAGTGAATTCCCAAAGCCGAGTGCACACATAAAAGAAAGTGGATATGGAGGAACCGCAGAGGATGAAAAGGTTGAAACTGTTCAGTGTGAGGAAAAGCAGCGAAGGAAACGGAAACGAACAATAATGAATGATACACAGGTGGAACTTATTGAGAGAGCCCTATTAGATGAACCTGATATGCAGCGAAATGCAGCCTCAATACAATTATGGGCTGAGAAATTAAGTTTTCATGTATGTCAATGCTTCAAACTTTTTATTGAGTGTTTTTATTTTAAATTTTAAATTTAACATAAGTTAGCCATTGTGTTATCCAGGGTTCCGAGGTTACATGTCCACAGCTTAAAAACTGGTAAGTCATCCTTATATTTTCCTGTGTTCATTTTCTGCGAGGTGTTTGAAACTACTTTTAGTAATCAACATGGCTCTTGTTTTATTAACTGCATTTGTTTTTTTGGACACAGCACAATGTTTATGTGCAAGATATTTTCGCACCGCACCAATCACTATCCTACTGCAGTGAATATTTGGATGGTTGCTTGTTATGAAAACATCATGTTTTTGTGTCTCCGCAGGTTAAACAATCGAAAAGCCAGGCTAGCCCGCACGGCTAAGGATGTTCGTCCAGCACCTGAGGCTGACAATGCGTTGCCAGACAAGCAAGGTGGGCGAGGACTAAGGTCCAACAACTCACCTGATACCCCTGGTGGAGATGCTTCCAGCCAACTAAATGTGAGGAGAGATCCTCAAATGATGTTGAGAACTGGTATCAGGGAGATCTCTGAGACTAACGTGGCAGAAGCCGCTGTCCCCCGTGGTCCTGCAGAATTTGATCTGTGCAAGCAAGGCGACTCTATCGGCCTCATGGGTGCAAATGGAGAGGAGATTGGGAGAGGAAAGGTGTTTCAGGTGCGTGGCCAATGGTATGGAAGAAACTTGGAGGAGTTGAGGGCATATGTTGTGGATGTTAAAGAGCTAAAAGCTAGAAGAGCAACGAGGCTTCCGCACCCGTCTGTAGCCACAGGTGTCTCATTTGAGGAGGCTGAAACAAAGATTGGCGTAATGAGAGTGTTATGGGATTCAAACATGACTTTCACCTTGCGTCCTAAACGAGCAATGTAAGCCAAAGGTTAAACGGCCTCGGCCTCTGTAGAACTACAAGTCGTTTCGTTACCTGCAAGATGTAACCGTGTAACCATTGTAATTACTTAGACCTCTTTTCCCTTCTTTTTTATCCTTTTGTTCTTATGATAAACAGAGTTTGGAATTTTCCATATACATTATTACACACAGCTTTCTAACTTTGTGGAATGTTGTTGAGAAATATCGAGTTGTTCTGTCATCATCTAAAAAATATGCAAAGTTGGTTTCAGGTAATTTACTAGAATAACGTTGTTGAAATGATTTCGTTCTGGTGCAGAGGAAGGCGGGCTTCAGAAAAATAAGAGCTATTTTGGAAATTGAAGGACGACAACATCTATTTTGGAAATTGAAGAATTAAAATCCAAATCGGATTATAATTCAAGGACTTTTATTCCTAATCATCCTAAATAAAAAAAGACGTGTTATTACATCTCAAATCATATATGGATGACTGAAAACTTAGCTCGTATTAATTTTGGAATTTGATATCTGAAATATGTACGAACAAATTTATCAAAATTCAGGTTACACTACCACTAATATACTGATCGGTGTATTATTAGCCGTCAGATCTTTTTAAAGGACATGAACGGTTAAGATGAATCAGCAAGAATATCCCCAAACATAAAATGGCGCCAAACAAGTGACGAAACATGGCTTTGTATTGTAACACCCACTTGGTTGAGGTCCAAGAATTGACAGAGTGAATCGGAACAAACGCGATCTTCTCTCAAACCCTAGACCTAACCTTCCTTACCCCATCACTGTAACATGGAGCTCAGTCCTCACCCTCATTCGACGTATTGTTCTTCATTCTTCGTCTTCTTCATCAACAGAATCCCAAACCTTAACCCTAATCCGAAGATGTAGAAGACGAAGAATCTGCTGGCGAATTCGTTCATCGTCTGGCTGATTCGTTCATCGACAAATCTGATGGCCGATTCGTTTGTCATCGAATCTGATGGCAGATTCGTTCATCGTCTTCGCACCATCGGATGAGCTTCGGCTCCGAAGAGACCTTGATTCGTCTCACATTAGGTTTTGAGCTTCCGCAAGTCTCTTGCTATATTACGTGCACTCGTCAGGTTGGCCCTACATCTTTCTAACCTAATTACTTGCATTTATTTTAGTGCTCTTTGAATCCACTTTTGAGATCTAGTTGCATTTCATTTTAGCGATCTTTCTATTTTTACTGTGCGTTTGGATTTTTCTTTTTTTTATTTCCTGGGATTTGCATTTTGGATGTAAATCATAATGCCAATACAATACGTTGAGAGACTTTAAAGATAGTTGTTGCCTGAATTTAAGCAGCACGCCATTTCTAGGTAGTTGTTGAACATCTTCTGTTGGAATTGAAAATTAAGGCGATGTAGATTTGTCTATTATGAGCTGAATTGCTTTCTATGTATGCCTATCTTTATGGCAACAGCTTAGAAACTGAAATTTCAGGTTGATCCTTTCCCATTTCTGGTTAGGAACTAAAGCTCAGTGACATTAATTACTAGGTTACGCATACCAGCAATAAAACTCAGATGCACCAAATTTATTGTGTGCATCAATTAGTCTTGTTACTTTAGTTCCCTGTAGTTCTTAAGCTGCTAGCAATTTGAGTAAATCACACAGAGCATACGTGGGGTTTCTAGTAGGGGTGGTTGCGGTTCGGTAACCGCGAATTTTTACTCAAACCGCAAACCGACCGACTATTTGCGGTTTGGTGATTTTTGAAACCGCAAACCGACCGCAAAATGCGGTCGGTTACCGCGAATTAGCGGTTTAAAACCGCGAGTTCTTAAGCATTCACAAAAATATAAATTCACAACCTAAATAAATAAATACACAACCTCAATTTCTCAAACATATATAAATTCACAATCTC